TTAAGAATTGCATGCCCAGAATGAGTGGTTGAGGAGTGTTTGCTATTACTTTCGCCCTGGTTTCTATCACCAGGTTAACCATTTGTATCCGTATTGGCAGTTGTACTTCTCCTATTATAGGGATTCAGTGTCCGCCGGCTGTGACGAGGACCGAGTTGCAGGGGATTTTCTTCAAATCTCGTACCAATCTTTCGCTGATTATGTTCATTTCTGCACCAGTGTCTATGACTGCCTTAATTTCCATTCCTTGAGCTTCCACTGAGATCTGCACGATTTTATTGTTTCGGGGGCCCGACTGCGCTAGGGTGGCTGGGCTTTCTAGTTTTGCCACCCCCTGGAGTTTGGGGAACTCCTCTGGCTGTAGCAGGTTGCTGCGAAATGACCTGGTTTTCCGCAATTATAACATTTTGGTCGGTTGTCCGTTGTCCTTGTGTTATACGTATTTGATTTGGGCCGCCGTTGCTCTTGTTTGCTCACCTCTCCCGATGTTATCTGTGGTGTCAGTATTTTTGGCGCATTATCCATGGTGATCGCTAGCTGTTTAAGTTGGTCCATACTTGTCGGGGGTGTGTTTGGGAAGTTCGTTAACCAGTAATACTGGTAATTGGTGTCCTGGTTCAGTCCCCGCTGCTGCCGTCCTGTTGTAGATTTTTACAAAATTGTCTGCAGCGTCCTTTCGTGGGTCGAAGACTGGTGGACTGATGAATTGTGGTTTTTGTCGCTTGCTATCGCGTCCCTGATCGTTGTGTTCGCCATGTCGCCGTCCTGGTCTCTGTTAGGGTGATTGTTGATGATTGTGTCCCTGGTTGGCTCGTTGGTCTGCTCGGTGTCCGTTAGGTTTGGTGATTCTGGGTCCTCCTCCTGGTCCTCGTGTTCGAGCTGAAGATTATTTTTAGGGTTTTTTTCTACTAAGAGTATATGGCAGCCTTCTCCGTTCGGCGTTGGTGGTGATCTTTGTAGGGAGATCCTAGGTTTGAAGACTGTGTCGTCCGCAATCTCCCTAATAACACAGTAACATCGCAGAAACATTCCAGAAACATCCATCAGGGATAATGAAGACGTCCCTGGGAGGTCCCTATTTTCCTGGGGACATCCCTGGGATGTTGCAGGCAACAGCCGTGTCATCATTTGCGATGTCCTATAAACATCTCTCAGGGATGTTTCTAAGATGACGCGGGATGTACCTAATACATCCGGGGCAGGTGTAAGAAACATCCTCTATATGTTTCTAGTATGACTTTAATAGGTGAATGAATTTTAGGATTATGGATTAAAAATTACCTAATTCAATAATTTTCAATTTTCGTTCTATTTTCTGGAAGTCAGATAGAACTTTTTCCAAAAAAAAAACAAAAATTGAAAATTATAAAATTAAGTAGGCACATCAGTTTCCAATAACATTTTTTATTGAAAAAATAAGGTACATGCATACTTATATTGATTATCTATCAACTAATAATAACCGACGGACAATTTTGCCTAAATAATGTAGTATTTATTACCCGTCATGTCATCGAGAACCATAGTTTGGCAGTGGCAGCATGTTGTAGTGGGGAGTTCGGCGTTTTCTTTTTTTTTTGGTGCTCCAATTTCATAAAGGTACCATTAACTAACCAAAACAACCACAGAACCAAAATCCAAAGTTCTTGAAGTACAATTCAACTTGCACACCTAGAATGTAATCAACTATGAAAACAAAAAATAATTATTGGTTATTTTCTCTTACCTAATGAAGAATGAAGTTCGGGTTTTTAGGGGCTATTTATCAGAAAAGTTAGAAATTTCCTAACCGACGCCATATTGAAATTAAATAAACTAAACAATTGATTGTTATGCGACGTTATCTTTCAACAAATAATCTTTCTCACCAACTAATAAGCACTGGTAGGTCGCAGAGATCCTTTCGAACACAAAATGGCACAACTAGGTGTAGCGAAAGACCACAAATTGACAAATCCTCCACACAGCACGACGCCATTACGAAATAAAATTCCGCCCAACAACACAAGCGAAGCACACAGAACAACCCGTTCGACTGATTCTGCCCGTCTGCGCTGGCTGCGGCGCCGACGTGGCCGCGTGCAGAGGTACAAGTACAAATGCCCGAGCACGCGCCTGCGCCATACACTTCGGCTTCACGAATATTCACGATGTTTGAAAGTTGAAAAGAGAGAAGACTTTTATCAATACATATTTTATTTTATTCCAAGTTGAATGAAAAATTAAATTTTGCTGTTGTTACAATACAAAATTAATATTAAGTTCCTTATCTATATACATTACAGGTATATTATGGAATTTGAAATTAGTTTGTGTGTGTGCTAGAGACATTTTCAGAAATCACACAAAATTGGCAAATTTAATACTGGGTCCTACCGGTCTGAGGTCCTACCTAGTTTTGTAAAATAATGTTAGCCATTTTTTAGCTGTAATACTTAAGTATCTAATTTTGAGAACAAAAAATCTTTTTGTCGATAGATATTTTCGAAAGGACGTTTCTAAAACATTTCAGGACAATCATCCTAGAGATGTTACATTACAAACATCGCAGCGATGTACCATTTATGTCGGAAACATAAGGACCTTAATGGTACATAAATAGGATGTTTCTGGGAGATCGGTGTTATTAGGGCTCTGTGCTACTGAGAGGTGGTGTAAAGGGGCTATCTTCTTTAGTGGATCGTAGTCTATATTTCTTGCTCATTTAACTTACTTCTATATCCCACGCAGCGTTTTCTTTTCTTGGCATCCAATTTTCGTAATAATTTTTTTTTTTTGAGGTCTCGTGTCCAATAGACGTCTATCTCACTTCGGGTACTATAAGTGCCTGACACCTTGGCGAATGTCACTTCCGTGTACACCCAAGAATACCTCTGATTATCAGTCCTGATGTAATGGCGACGGTAGGTACTCCAATTTAGTTATCTTTGCGAAGGGACTAGCTTTACTTAACTGAGCTCTCGCCTAGGTACTTCGATGCTAAATAGGGAGATTCAACATCACAGGTTCTTCGAACGGCGCCTCCACCATATGTCACACAAGGCTCTTTCGGCTCGTGAGGGTTAGACCTGAGGTTAGGGTTTGCTCTGCAGGAAAACACACAACTACAACGGGAATAGTGTATATTGTCGTCCAATAGGTACATTACCAAAGGGGCACTACGTAGGTGTACCACATGACTCTTGTGCTGGGGCTCTATGTAGGAATACGGGTTCTGCACGTATAGGCAACGCTACCCTGCTGGAGGGTAAGACTCTCTGGGGTAAGGTGACCCTGAAGAGGAATGTAGCTACTGCTCCCTTGGGTAAGGTGACCCTGAGGAGAGAGTGATCCGAAGGGGTTAATGCTTCCTGGGGTAAGGAGACCCTGAGAAGAGAAAGACCCGAATGGATGCCGATACCATGGTTGTATCGGGTTTTTATATTCATGGCGTGTAAACATAATTTACGCGTTGACCTGCTTAAACCGCTGACTGTCGATAAATCGTGTCCTAGTTAGTTTTAATTATTTTTGATATACAGGATGGTTTTTATTTATAGACCATTAGTTGACAATATTTTTCTTTAATTTGTCAATGAACTTTAATGTCAAAATGTCATGTCAAAAATCCTGACCAATAAAAAAACAGTAATGCGACGTACGTTTTCGTAATCAAAGCAATCTTCGATTGGTTTTTTTTTTTGAAGACCCGATATATCCTATTCCTACATTTAACAATACGATTTTAATTAGTCCTACCAAATACTATTGTAATTGTAATAACTTATGGTATAAAAAGTGTTCAGAAATTAATACAAAGTGGATATGCACTGATCCTATAGTTAATGGGTGTAACTTATTACCAGATTGTACTTCTGCAAAAATAAGTAATAAATATAAAGTTCACACATTAACCTATCATAAAGCTCTTTTATTTTGTACGAAAACTTCTGAAAGTGTTTTTGAAAATTGTTTTCAATTTATTAAACATAATTATATTGAGAGCCAATGTGATGTAATTATTGGTCAGTATAAATACGCTCTACAATCAAATGGTATTAGGATTAAAAATCCTGAAATCCAAAGTACTGTATCAAATTCAAACCTATCTCTGAATTTACAACTTAAGCACCTAATGTATATCCTGAAAAAATCACAGAAGACCTTAGGGAACCCCAGAACCCGTAGTATTTAAGAACTTTGTTTCAGCAAATACTCATGCAACTAGTACAAAGTATTGTATTATTTCTTATATCTGTACTAATTCTTATACTAGGTGTGTATTTATGGCAAACGAAGCAGAAGTCCATCCCCCTGACAACACTACAGGACATCATCAACGAGGACGTTGAAGAATCTTAAGAGAGGAAGAGTTATAGACATGAACCAATAGGTGAACTGCCAATACCAGGAATATATAGCTCGACTCAGCATAATCATAGAATAAGCATATTTTGTATTTTATTATTTCATGGGAGCTTTTTACATAGAATAAGTTTAGTCTTTAGTCACACACTGTACCAGTTAGTTAAGTCTGATATAAATCTTTTTTAAAAAAGCATTCTACTGGTTTGAGTATTTAACTCGGGACAGCTCTGGTTACAAACAATTACTAGCATGAAATACATCGTCACGTTTCTATGCAAAATCTACATATGTATGTATGATTTGCTAAAGAAGTTTATATCTTTCCACGCCATTCTCACATTATTACTTGAGCTAGAATTCTCAAATTTAAAATACCTAGTGTTCTTTAGGATATTGACTAGAACCTACCGGACCCAGATTGGTCAGATTTTTCAATTTCGATCTAGAAAAAAACAATTAATGAAAAAAAAAAAAAAACGGGTTTATACCTAAATTCTCTGAATGATCTTCTGTTATTATGTCGAATAATTTTATTTAGATTGCCTGGAGAGGCAGGCCTTTCAACTAGTACTTATATAATAGTTATTTTTATGCTTCTAGTTGATAGCTTATTTATAGCGTGCCAACACAAAAATCAAAGAAGCACATTTTTTTTAAATTCCTGTATTGAGCCAAATAAAATCTCTCAACGCTGCTACGTTTGTGTAGACACCAGGATGTTTGGGATCGCCACACTCCAATCCGTATGCCACTATACCATGGAGTATGTTGCCGGTTACAAAAGGGCCTCCTGAATCTCCCTAAAATCAAAATTAATGGTAACATTTCCAAAAAAAATTAATTAAAATCCTACATGACAAGAATCTGTAATGTTAGCCATATTATCGCCTCCAGCACAAAACTGTATTTCTGTAAAAGGCATTTCGTACTCTTTGTATTGGTTTTTGCACCATTCAGAATCAATAACAGACATTTGAGCGGCCTTTAAAAGTTTTGAGCCTTTCGTTTGCCCATAATAAATATCTCCAAATCCAGATACTGTGCCTCTTATGCCAGGCGCCAGAATATCATTGTTTGTTGGTAGTTTTACTGGTTGAATCGTTGAGCTTAAACTAACAAATCAAATCATGCAGGTAAAAAAACAAGAGAGGAAGTGTAAATTTACTTTAGAGGATTCTGAAACACCAAAATGGCAATATCGTAATTATAGATACTTCTCTCAGGATGAACATAAATATTTGAAATGTTCGTTATATTTCCCCCACTGTCTTTAAAATCGCTACCAGCTCTCACACTGTATAATGCAATTTCTTTAAAACAGTGTGCGGCAGATAAGCCGTATCTTGCAGCAATTAAAGCCGCACCACAGATATGACGGTCGGCTAACCTTAGAAAAAAAAAAATAGTTCAAAAAGTTTATCAGAGAGAAAAAGCTTACATTACCTTACACTTAGTTGGTATGGAAAGTCTTCAATCTTTACGCACTCACCGCCAACAATGCGGCACTGACAACATACATTAGAAACTAAAAAAAAATCTCTAATTTAAGAGGAGCGTTTAAATAAAATGTCATTTACAGACCTTCACAAATGTCTGTTCATTTTCAAATTTAGACCACTTTTCAGTGAAATGAAGTTATGTTCATAACAATAATCGATTGGAGTATGGGTCGAAGCATTTTTGGTTGCAAAATACGCAGTCTAAATAGTGAAATTATTACCAATTTTGTTGACAACAGTATGCAAATTTTGGTCACGGATTTAAATGAAAAAGGGATAACCACATAAGAGTAGCACACTATCAATAAATTGACAAAATTTCGGATCATAAAATGCTGGAATAAATGAAAAGAACAGAATTGCCGAAAATTTATAATGTTTTTATTCCAAAATTAATCAAAATCTGCCAAACAAGGAGGTGATTGCTGTCATTGTTTGAAGTAACAAGGTTAACGCAAATTCGAAATCTCTTCAAAAATATTACTTTTGTAAAAAAAGTAGTTTCGGTGCTTGATTGCATAAACTGTAGTTCTGTAGCAGAGAGGTAAATAGTCGTAACTCCACTTTTAATCAATATTGAGTTAATATCATTTTCAAAGTGCCCGCTTTCAATTTGTTATTGTGGCAAAAGATCGTAAGTCCCGCTTTGTTGGTTGCCTGTATTTTTAGTTTTGAAAAGACAGTAACTCCATGTATTAGTGGGGTAAAGAATTACATACTATTCTGTTAATGTTTACCTACCATCAAAATACTTAGTGGTGAACAGTAGTAACTCCACGGAACGGCGTGCTGATGATTTTTTAAAAGTATTTTTAGTGTTTTGAAATGATGGAAGGTGATAAAAGACATAATATGTTGAATGTTGAAAAATATTGTTGTAAAACAAAAGGTTAAGATAGTTCTGATGAAGAAGACAGCGAATAAATTTTGCCTTGTACAAATAATAATTTTTTCTCCAAACGTCAGAAAAACGTCACTTTGTTAACTCCTGTCAAGATGTCAGAAGTTTGATTTCTATGCTGCTAGGCAAATCCAGCGGTTTAACACCTGTCGAGGTGGTAGAAATTTAATTTCTATGCTGCTTGGCAACCCCAGCGGCAGCAAAAGTACTTTTAGTGCCGCTGGAGCGGCAGTAGAAGTACTTTTAGTGCCGCTCGTACTTTTACTGCCGCTCAACCATTCACTTGCCCCGGAGCTTACCCCATTCGTTTGGAGAAAAAATAGCGTGTTGCATACGGAGTAGAAGCACTTTTTTGTGCTTCAGCAGTATTGCAAGCCTCACTACGTTCGGCTCGCAAACCTACTGTTTCAGCACAAAAAAGTGAACCTTCTACTCCTAATACAACAATATACTATTTTCTCCGAATGACAGTAAAAGCGGCCTTTTAATGACACTTGACAGGATCAAAAGTTGTATTTTTACTGCCTAGGCATTAAAAGTGACAGTGTCACAACGTTCCAGGTAATAATTTCATTCAATTTGGTATTTGAAATTGATGGTGACAATGACAATTGTCAAAATAATTTAATTATTTGGATAATAATAATGAACGAAATAAATATAAAAAAGATGTCTATGTGTCAATTTGAACATTCGGAGAAAAAATTATATGTTTTACATGGCAGAAAAGTAGATTTAATGCCTCGGCTGGTTTCCTAGCCTCGGCTATGCCTCGGCTATGAAACACCAGCCGCGGCATTAAATCTTGTACTTTTCTGCCTAGTAAAACAAATAACTATTTTTGGTCTAGGACATCTTCTTCAAGAGAATTACATTTTTTTAAGTATTTTGTGCTCATTAGTCATGTTAGCGATAAGCAATAAAACTGGTTTTGCAATATAAGACTCGAGATAAGACTTCTATTTTAATGATTTACCTGTTTTTTCAAATTGAGGTAAAAAATCGTAAATCCAAAATCAAGATACAGGTTAAGTATGGCTGAAATAATGGTATTGGTTATCAAAACTGCTAATTAAGTTAAGTAGAATACCATAATAACAGCTTGGTACCGTGTATAAAAATTAGTCAAATTTTAAAGTGAGTTAGCATTACAACTTGTTTTCTTCTTTACTGAACTTTTTAATTTATGGACATACCATTGTTTACCTCTCTGCTACAGAGTTACAGTTGCCACCCAAGTTGCGGAATTCAAGCGGACCTAGTAAATTGCGAAAATAAATTTGTTTGTTATGATTCGCGTAAGAAAAGTGAGGTGAGTCTGGTGAAATGAATGAAAAATAAATGAAAACTCTCCTGGAGGGCATGTTTAACCATCACCTGAAGCCATTAACGACCAAGATGGAGGAGGACATGACTGAGTTGAAGAATTCAGTCCAGTTCATGTCTGATAGCTTCGATGAACAGAAAGAAAGGTAAGCTTCAAGATATGATGGATGAAATAAGACAACTTAAAGGTGAAAATGCACCCCTGAGACAAAAACTGAGTTACATGGAAGAACGATTGAACCTTTTGGAACAACGGGACAAGGAGAAGAATTTGATTGTGGCTGGTATTCCAAAGCAACCTGGAGGAGTAGAAGATAGCATGATACAATGAAAATGAACCTGAATGTGCAAGAAGTATTCAGTATCCACAACAAGGATGATGCTCCCATACTGTTGAAATTAAAATCAAATGAAATACGAAGTGCAATATTGAAAAAAATAAGATAAATTAAGGGAATAAAGCTGAATGAGTGTGGTCTGGTAGGAGGAGCAAAGAATATTTTTTCAATGAAGATTTGACGAAGCAAAACCAATTGCTCTTCAACGGAGCTAGAGAAAAGAAGAAAAAATCGAGTTATAAATCAGTGTTTGTTTCAAATAGAAAGATTTACTTAAAAAAGGAAGAAAACCCCAAACCAATACAAGTTAAAACTAAGGCGAATCTAAATTAGTACGAAGCCTTAGCGAAAAAAACTGTAAAATATGTACATAAATAAAAAACTACATTGCTGTCCAATGGCTTGTGATAATCTCAATATGATACATTAATATAAGAAGCCTACGGAAGGATCAATGATTCTGCACCAATTGTCATTAGAGTCCCCGCAAAACATAGTGGATGGATTTTTTCAAAAATGTATATGTTGCATCATCAAATCCCTTCTTAATTAACCCTGTCGAGCTCTACAACTCTCAAAATATATCCATTAACAATATTTCTCAGCTTGAAGTGTGCAGCATGTGTGCAGTGCACTCAAAAAATTAAAAGATACAAAAACTGCAGGTTATGATAAAATGCTTTCTTTTATATTCCGTGATTGCTCACCGTTTCTATCAGTGCCTTTAGATCTTATCTTCAATAAAATTTTAAAAAATAATATTTTTCCGGAACAATGGAAAATAACCAAGATTTGTCCTGTCTTTAAGGCAGGTCAAAATAATAATATCACTCTAACTATCGACCTATCTCCATACTGTCCAACTTTTCGAAGGCCTTTGAAATCTGTATTCACAACAATCTCTTCCATCAAGTTAAAAACGTAATATCTCCTATTCAACATGGCTTTTTTCCACAGAGATCAACTATAACAAATCTTACAAGTTTCCTACAAAAAGCTTATCTTGCTATCAATAGTAGGAAACAACTTGACGTCATATACACTGACTTTTCGAAAGCCTTCGATAGATTGGATCATGGTATCGTTGCCCAGAAAATGTATTGCATTGGGTTTCATCTGAAAATTTTTAGAATTATTGACACCATACAGGACTGCTTGGTGTATCACAAATAAACTTCAGCTAAATATTAATAAATACCAATCCATGACTATTTCCAAGCTTCATAACGAAGTAAAGTTTGCATATAGACTTTAAAATACCAATGTTTCTAGTGTAGATTCCATACGAGACCTTGGGGTAATTATCGACAGTAGACTACATTTTAATAAACATATTGACCAAATCGTTCAAGCATCTTTGAAAACACTTGGCTTTGTTATTAGGTCTACAAAAGATTTCACAAGTACGGAGAGCTTGATTGCTTTGTACAACTTATTGATAAAATCAACATTACAATATGCAGCTCTGATATGGTATCCCAATTAGGATACACGTCGACAGGCTCGAATATATACCTAAGCTTTGAGGAGGATGGCATCTACCCTAGATATGACCACAATTTATTAGGTACTAGAAAGATTTAACTTTTTATCACTTAAGCAAAGTACAATTCTTGCCAGTCAACTGTTTATTTTCAAAATATGCAACAATTCAATTGATTCGGCTGAAATATTAAATTACCTCAATTTTTTGGTTCCCGTAGTAAACACCCGAACTCATCATAAATTCCTTCTGGAACACTGTCATTTATAGAGCCTGCTCATGACATAATCAATTAACTGCTATTTGCACCGCTACAACTTAAGGTCAGCCTTAGTCTTAAGTGGAACTTAAACTACGATTTTGCTTTGCACCGTTGTTTAGGGTCCACCTCAAGTCTAGTTAAGTTAAGCCCCGGATTCTCTCCGCTTAGTTCGATTCTAACCTCATTTTTGGGTTTTGTTTTCTTTTTTTGACAGAATTCTGGTTGACTTTGATTATCGATGATTTTGTATTTGTAATATCCAAGGTTCCAAGAACCTTTTCTCCGAAGACTGCATGTTTAAAGCAAAAAAAAAATATATATGTTTATTTTCATAGCAAAAACAAGTTTTCCGAAGTTTTTTTTATGGTTGTTGCCGTTATTTGTTAATGCTTTTATTTTTGTGCGTCGGGTAATTTCTACAGAATTTTGCACAAGACTGCCAAAAATATATTCAAAATAATATCCATGTGATATAACTTATGAAAGAAAAGACGAAATTAACGAAAATATTTATATTTTAATCGCAAAGATAGGTTAACCGATAAATTCCTTGCTTGAAATAGGTACTTACATCCTCCTTCATTTCTGCCTTGAAACACGCATTTTTGCGCTGTTGCCAATAGCTTTCAATTCTTAGCTAAGATTTCGTCGGTGCAAAGCAACTCAACCTAAAGGTTCACCTTAAGCTTAGCCTCTACCTAACTTAGTTTGTTTTTAAGGAACACCGGTGCAAATAGCTGTAATACCCACTATTGGTGAGTTGGATTTTTTCAATGGTACTGAAAAGTCATTTGAAACTAAAATTATACCAAAGATAAGAAACGCTCTCCTGAATTAAAATGCTCTCGAAATTGTTTTAATTATAATCTTGCATTTTTGTGGAGTGATTGCTGATTGGCTTGGGGTTAACTTTTTGTCCTGGGGTTTTGCTGATGGAAATTGTTGATACCACTTATAGTTGGGGAGCTGGCGTCAAAAACATGCAAGAGTTTTCGCAAGGCGGATATTTTCAAAATAGGTCGTACTTTAGTGCTAGAATGCTAGTGTACAGTCAGCACTCACAGTTCCGGGACAGCTGGCTCTGGGACGCGGGCAAAGTTGTAATTTTAAGAAGCATCTAAACTGTTTTCTCAAAGCTCAAAATTTATAGAAATTTTGGACATTATCTGTTTGAAGGTCACAGATAACGTATGTAAATCGTCAGACGTCTAGTTCGTTGCAAAAAGGGGGTCAGACGTCCTCAAAGTTTTTATTTTATGGCATTTTCTTCGGTGTCCTGTCAAAATATATTTTTGCAGGTATTTGACAAATATATTTGAAGAAAATGCCATAAAATAAAAACTTTGAGGACGTCTGACCCCCTTTTTGCAACGAACTAGACGTCTGACGATTTACATACGTTATCTGTGACCTTCAAACAGATAATGTGCAAAATTTCTATAAATTTTGAACTTTGAGAAAACAGTTTAGGTGCTTCTTAAAATTACAACTTTGCCCGCGTCCCAGAGCCAGCTGTCCCGGAACTGTGAGTGCTGACTGTACACTAGCATTCTAGCACTGAAGTACGACCTATTTTGAAAATATCCGCCTTGCGAAAACTCTTGCATGTTTTTGGCGCCACCTCCTGGACTATTAACTTACATCTATTTTTCTCGATTGTTAATTCCAAACTATAGTTGGTTACTTCATGTATTTGAGGCATAAGTCAAAACCTAGGTTTTTAAATTTACAATAGCATTTATCTGGTCTTTAATTTGAAATTATTTTAAATGTCTCTTGTTATCGGGTTTATCGTGTCGACAATAAATAAATAAAGAATAAAAAATTTTAAAAAAATATAATAAAAATTAAAAAATAACATTATATGTGTTCAGAAATTCAAGAAGCTGCATGTATACAATTTTTTCAATTATTTTCTCAATGACAGGAAGATTGACCTGCCTCGCATAAATAGAAAAAGATACCTTAATTGTAATAAACACAAGTTGGAAAGTGATAAAAGATGACATGCGCGCGCAACTAGTGGGTTGCAGTGTAGCCAGTTTGTATTTTTGCAGAACAAATGCAGACAATACAATTCGAACATTATACCAATAAAAAAGTGATTTTTTACAACGTGTTTTACAACGCTTTAAATTAGACAAAAGAAGAGCTTTAAAGTGTATGTAAACTTCGTTTGCACTTTTATTTTAATAAATGTGTCATCCGGCAACATCGCACAATGAAAGTGCCGACTAGTGCAGAGGAATATGTGAAGTAAATCTATATATATAAAACACAGTTGGGTTGGTTCTAACACATAACTCGAGAACGACTGGACTGATTTTTATGATTTTTGCTTTATTGGATTTTTCTTTGTCCCTAATAACATAATTAATCGAAAAAATGAAAAAAAAAAAAAAAAAAAAACAAAAAACAAAATTACTTATTTTACTTAGGTATTTATGAAGAAGATTCACTTAGCCCGCATACGGCGCCATCTCTTATAACCGACACCAAGTTTACCGCCATATTTTCATTGCAAACCATTTTGTATTCGGCGCCATCAACTGATACCTAGAACGAAGCTCGCCGTTGCGCGGTAATTTCATTACAGAGATAGTAGAACAATGCTGCTCAGGAACTGGAACTATTCCGAACAGAACTATTCCACTATTCCGATCAGATAGAGTGGTACAGAAAGAGTAGATCAGATAGAATAGTGCAGATAGAGTAGAACAGATAGAGTAGTGCAGTGCATGCAGTGCAGATAGAGTGAAACAGGGCTGCGCTGGAGATTTTTTTTGTTTTTTTTTTACATTCTTTGAACATTCCTGTGCCTGAGGTTATTTATTTGGTGGTACACTTTACAAGAATAATGCCCACAAGCTGCCTAAAAAGGGATGATGTAAAGTTTTAATTTGAGGTGACTTCTGATCCAGAGAGTAAACATTAATTTTCTTCAACCAAATCCAAATTCACCATCGAAAAAAACTGAATTCAATTCAGCTGATAGATACGTTAACACAACATTTAATAGGTATTTATTAATTCAGAGGCGGTACGAAGTTCGCCGGGTCAGCTAGTCTAACATATTTTTGAACAACACTGCAGTGAGTTCAGAAGTAATAGATGAAGTAGTATTAGTTTGCTCTTTGTCGAATTACACGTTACAAAGAAACAAGGAACGATTAATTCTGAACTGGGCCCTGAATAAGAATATGACGCAAGCCCGTAACAAACTCGCTCCTCATTAGATGCTCACCTGCAACCTGCAACCCACGAGTTGTGCGCGCAGTCAAGGTAATAAAAGATAGGTCATTCGTCTATCGAGTCAGGCTTTTTTTGAATTGGTATCATTGTAGCGAGCTTTAGAGGATCCGGAAACTTTAATTGTGTTCCAGTGAATTATTCGCGTTAGATCTTCGACCTTCTTTTCCTGATTTTTTTTTTGTCTTTTCCTGGGTATTTTTTGAAATTTCGCCGCCTCCCCAGATTTGCTGCCCTACGCTTGTGCCCAATTTGCGTATAGGGAAATACGGCACTAAGACATACAGGACTTGAAAATTGTGAGAAATGCTCAACAAATATGTACACAATCAATTCTGGTCATAATGTTAGTTTATATAAAACAAAATAAATTGAAATTCTTACCTAAAAATAAACAAAACACCAATGTTATAGAAAACTTTGAATTCATTTCGGTACTTCCTCAAAACGGTGGGGGAATTAATAATTGTGGTTTTGCTATCAAGGAACAAATTCAATTGCCGCTGAGCCACATAGATTTGCATATTTCAATTTTTCACGATTATATTTAGGTATATTAAGAACTTTTATTTTACAACGTATTGTATTTTTTACAACAGAGCTGTCGGAAATTGAATTAAAATAATTGAAACATTGCTTTTATAATCACTTAATTATTACTTTTATTAAATGAACTACACTTAAAATTAATTGAAATTTTAATATTTTAAATTTCATCACAGATTTTTTTTTACTCGTACTTTCTTACTTAGTTGATAGCAATTTGTAGCTTGCAAACACAAAAATCGAAGAAGCACAATTTTTCTAAAAATATTTATTGAAAACTATTAAAATTAACGAGGAACCTTAAAGCGAAATAAATTAATATAATATGAATAAATTAAAAACTAAGAGATACTTGTACAGGGTGGTTGATTTTCGATGGTTTAATAGGGTACAGCCAAAATGGCCGAAGATACTAAGAAACTGATATACGCTTCCCGTCCTCTTTTTTAGTGTGTCACTTGATGGTGTAGTCAGATCTTAGCCAACTAGATTGGTTTGCGAGGTACAGGGTGTTTTTCAAAATCAGCTTATTTTTATAATCCTCTATAACTTCTTACCCATCGGAGATATAAAAAAAGTGCAAAAGGGAAAATAGTTATTTGTTTTACGAGGCAGAAAAGTACAAGATTTAATGCCGCGGCTGGTGTTTCATAGCCGAGGCATAGCCGAGGCTAGGAAACCAGCCGAGGCATTAAATCTGCTTTTCTGCCATGTAAAACATATAATTTTTTCCCCGAATGTTCGAATTCACACATGGACATCTTTTTTATATTTATTTCATTCATTATTATTATCCAAATAATTAAATTATTTTGACAATTGTCATTGTCACCTTCAATTTCAAATACCAAATTGAGTGAAATTATTACCTGGAACGTTGTAACACTGTCACTTTTAATGCTTAGGCAGTAAAAGTCCACTTTTACTGCCTAGGCAGTAAAAATACAACTTCTGTCAAGTGTCATTAAAAGGCCGCTTTTACTGTCATTCGGAGAAAAATATATGTTTTTTTACGTAGAATCCATTGGCGTACTTAGAAAAAATATTGAAGTTTTATCTTCTGAGATATTCGAATAAACAGAGATTTTTCAAATGGAACACTCTGTATCTCAGTGGTTCAGTAGTTTGGGAAAAAAACTGCGAGTTCAACGATTTATAGCACATGCTATTTTGTTCTGTCCTAAATGGCGAGAAAGAAAAAACACTTTTTTTAAGTTGTTATGCAATAAATTGTTTATATTTTTTTTAAAGTCAGATATTTTAACTTTTTTTTAAATGTTATGCCTACATTTTCTAAAATATTAAATACCTAAGTATACTTTATTTTTTCCCAAGATAGATTTTGACACTGTCAACTTTGAAACATAAACAATGCCGCTTTTTGGTCGCAACATGTCATTTGCACGACATGCATTGCAAAACTCGAGGCAAAACTGATTCTAACTTGCTGGGATACAGCATTTTGCGACCAATCAGGGACGAGCGTTATTGTTTATGTTTCAAAGTTTTCAATGTCAAAATCCATCTTAGGAAAAAATACACTTTTTCTACAAACGTGTTAAAAATGCAATTTTTAACACCGCCCCGAAGCATTAAAAATGTTACTTTATCGCACAAGTGCCATAAAGTCTTTATAGCACTAGTGTTAAAAGTGAAACATCAAATTTTGAGAGCGGACGTCAAAAAAAGTTTGTATTTTCAGTTATTTACATTGATATTAATGGTGAAATTTGAACAACTGAGGTAGCCCGATTGGCCGCCTCATCTATATTTTTCGAAGGATCGATGCAACCCTCTTTTTCTTCTGTATCTTGTTGCATTTTTAGCAAAAAGCATTCCTGACCACGAAAGACTTTCAAGAAACTGACAAGACATTTCCTTACCTGTAAAACAAGGTGCTGGTTGTATGGATTTTTTGACAAATGTCAAATTCAAGATTTTATGTAGGAAAGATGCTTCCAATTTATTATTCATTTAAAAATCCAATTTGTTAGTGGTTATTGCTTTTTATTGCCGTTTGTAGAAAAAAATATTGTATGATATTTGTGTTAAAAGTATTTTTAAGGCACTTATGTGAATTGCAGAATTCGCTTCGCTCATTCTGCAAACTTTCACATGCGTGCCTTAAAAATGTACTTTTAACACTTATATCATAAATAACTATTAGTTGAAAAGTTTGTAAACAAAATATTATGTAAGAATAATTAAGACAATCATTTTTAATTAAAATAATAATTATTTAATGTTTTTTTTTTGTAAAAGCATAGAATCAACTACCTAATTATGTTGTGTTGACTGCGACACCCTGTATCCAAAACAGTAAAATGGGCAAAATGGCAACAATATTTCCTTTTTCAACAGTATAATAATATTTAGTAGATACTTTTTTGTCGGAATCAAATGAAGGAAAATACGAAAAACTATGTTTTGACAAGTTGACAATGATATGAGTGACATAGTGTGTTCTGTTATTTGACAAATATTTTCAGTTTTGAAGTTAAGAATTTGATTTGATTTATTATAACTCTATCATTTATTAAAATGGTGTTGTTCGACAATCTTCATAAAGTTCACATGTGCGAGTGTTACATTGAAAGCGGAAAAAATGAATATGCAGCTCTCAACTTATATTTTCAGAGATATCCAGAGCGTCGTCAGCCAGAAAAGCGATTTTTTAGGCGCTTATATAATAATCTGAGTGAGTTTGGCACATTCACAAAACCTAGAAGCAAATTTTATAATATCCCAAAAAGGGAAAATAATGAAATCAGTACTCTTGCTTGTGTTGCTGCAAATCCTAATGTGTCTAGCAGAGAAATTGAAATGACGGTAGGAGTAGGCAAAGTCACAGCTTTAAAAATATTGAAAAAACACAAGTTTCGGCCATACACTATAAGAAAAGTCCATAATTTGCATCCTGGAGACGAACGTAGAAGATTTATATTTTGTCAATGGTATAGTACAACAAATACCATTTTAAAGTCACGTGATTTTTCTCTATCCTTGTTGAATACATCTCAAACAGCGGTGATAGTAAAATTGACAAGAAAATGGCTGTCTAATTATTCTTCATAATATTCTTACCTGAAATAGAATCCGTCACTGTCATCAATTAGTTTGTCAAAGTTATTTTCGAAAATAATACAATGAACAAACACAGCTAATAATTTTGACTATATTAACCTTTTTCCAACTCGAAAAGAAGCAAATAGAAAACGGGTACCGAGTTTAAGTTCAGAATGTATTACAACAGACAGCAGATACGACAAAAGTGAGTCTCGCAACAATTGCAAGTATTAAAATTGCCCTCTGATTGGTTAATACTACTTCAGAAACGCGTTTGTAAAATGCTAGTGGGAACATATCCTAAAATTCAATAATAATTAATCACCAGTAGCATTTTGTAGGTGATATGAACGACATAATCAATGGACATACGTTTTTTGCCACCGGTATCACGTGACTTTAAAATGGTATTTGTCGGACTACGACAGAAATGTCAGTTGAATCGAAATTTTTTCCAAAATGTGATTTGGACCGATGAAGCCTTTATAACAAGTTAAGGTATATTTAATAGGCACAACGCTCACTATTGGTCAACTGTGAATCCTCACCAGACTGTAGCTAGGGTCCAGCAAATCCGATTTGGTTTTCATGTTTGGGTAGCCCTCTTTCAAAATAGAGTGTTTGCATATCAAATTTATGAAGAGAATCTCAACGCTCAGAGTTATGTAAGAATGTTGGAAGGACATATTATTGATGCAATAGACGGTATGCCACTAGCTGAGAGAAATCGAATATTTTTCCAGCAGGATGGTGCGCCTGCACATAATAGGGAACTTGCACATCAAATTAAATATGGAAATAATAACAAAACACAATAACAATCATCCTAATAAATGATGCAATTAGGAAGAAAATTTAATATCTTATCTCTGGTGTCCAAAATCTTCAATTGAAAATACCAAATAAATCGAAATTCATGACGCGATCAAAAAAGTATTTCTATGGGTCGTGACGTCACAAGGCAGTAATAATCGGGTCGTGCCGCTCCCACGTCATGTGCTGCTGGTGTCGCCAATGTCAAATCTATCAAAAACTGCATGCATAACAACATAACCATAATCTTAATCCACCTGCTCGAAGTTCGAAGTGCTCGTCACTGTGATCGGAATTTTGTTGCCGAGTGACGTCACACTGATCGGTCGTTTCAAATGGCGATGTTTCGAGCGTAACTTCAACTATTTATAAAAAATTAACGGCTGATTTTTAATGCCTGATATTTGGCATGACTATGTCTTTAGTGAAGTAGAACACATTTTTGAATTTAAAAAAATATGTCAAGTTCCCTATTCTCGTTTAGTTAGAGAATTACTAAATACCAATTTTGGAGGTAACTGGATCGGTACATACGGACCAAACAGGTGGGCACCTAGGTCACCAGACACCTCTGGACTTTTTTTTTGGGGGGGAACTTAAAAATAAAGTATATAAAGTTAGATCGAACAATATAGAAGAATTGGGAGAACATTTTGAAAATAGTATTCGGAATGTATCAAACATCCACATTTACAATGCCACCCGCTCTGTTGCCAAGCGTTGCCAACTATGCATTAACCAAAATGGCCGGCAGTTCCAGCACTTGTTATAACCATTGGTTATAATCTTTAATAATTGTTGTTTACCATGTTTTCTAGCTTTCTTGATGTGTTTAATGACAATTTATTGTTTTTATGTTGATGTTTAAAGTGTAGAAATAATATATTATAATATCGCTATTTTTTTATTTTATTTTTTTTTTTTCAAAAAAAAAATGTGTTTTTTGTTATCTTTGTTATTTAGGGCAAAACAAAATATCATGCGTTATGTATCGGTAAACTCGCAATTTTTTTTCCAAGCTACTGAACCAATAAAACACAGGGTGTTCCATTTGAAAAATCTCTGTTTATTCGAATATCTCAAAAGATAAAACTCCATT